CCCCAAAACCCCAAAACCCCAAAACCCCAAAACCCCGTCAAGATCTTTTTTACAGTAATAAGCCTAATAGGAATTAAAGCTGTATAAATAATTGTTTTGCTATTTAATTTAACTTTTAGACTCAAAAAATAAATCTACGTCATAATAGCTCTTCTATTCATATTCTAACTTTTAAAAATGGCAGTAGAATATGAAGATATCTGTCATAAAAGTGGACGTTCAGCACCTTTGGGGGTTCTTGGTTTGACTTTAGTCTTCTTTTTGACTAAATTGGTGGTTCCACCCTTTATAGCGTTAATAATGAAATCTAGTTTTTCTTTAATATCTACCTAGTCTTTTCTTTATTTAACCAATTCATCGCTTATTTCTTCAACTCTTACCCCCAATCGCTCTATTTCATTTTTCATAAATTAGCTCTCATTATTACCCTCATTGTAATTAAATAAGTTTCTGGTAGTTTCCTTGAATTTCACCATGTGCTCTCTGAATATTCTAGCTGAAGATAAAAGCTTTGGATCAATCTTTGTATTTAAATCAAATATGTCTTATTTCCTAGCTAAAAGTTTATGTCTATACAAGGTAGCAACTGCCTTTACTGACTCTTTTTAGATCATGTCTTTCCAATAAAGCCTTTACATAAGATTATAAGATTTTTTCTGAGCTGGAGTGAAACTAAGGAAATTGGTAAGTGTAACAGTATAAAAAGAAGCAAGAAAGATTCCCCAAATACAAGTCAGAATACCAACTATTCTACCGCCGTTTGATTTAGGATACAGATCTCCATAGCCGACTGTTGTCATTGTAACAATAATAAGCCAAATACAATTCCAAAAAGAATCAAAATCTTAGCCAGATACTTGTGAATAATGTCTCTCAAAAACTTACATTGCATAGGCAAAACAAACTGCTGATCCAACAAAAATTATTGCTGTTAATTGATAAGGACTTTCTTTAATTATGCTTTTAATAGCGTAAACCGAATCAGCTTTACAGCTATTCATTTAGCAGACTCTTTGAGCACGAGGGTCACTGAACCTTGTAAAGTACATCATTGTTCTAATAAGAAAGTACATTTTAAATAGACTTAAAACGGTCAGAATTTCGTTAGTTGTGTTTACTACGCCAGTCTTTAGCATTGTAGAATCTAGTGAAATATTGTCAATAATTTTGGTGATTCCTTACATTCTAAGTACTCCGCATCTTGTAAAAACTCATATGGACATAGTATGATGATAATCATTTCAATCATTATTACTTTTATCTATCCAGTAGTAAATAATGTGTCTATACGTGTATAATAGCCTTTAGAAATTGACCATTTGAGATGCATTTTAAACCTTATAACTATCAAAATAACTAAAGCATTATTACTCGATGAAAGTATTACGATTGATAGCTGATGTTATATAATTTAACCTTAGGCATAGTAAAAATTCATTTTCAAAGATCTTGTTCTCAATTTGTGAGAGTTCATTAAATACTATGCTAGCACCTATTTGAATGGCAGACATGAAAGCTACAGCATATTCAGAGAGTTTTAGCTTTATAAATGCTTCATTAGAGATTCTAATATCTTCAAAATCCAAACTAATTAACTCTATAATTCTACACTCATAGTTATCCAATATAAATGTTACTTTTTCTTTTTTTCTCTTGCCTCTTCAATCAGCTCTTTTTCTGATATAATTTGTGTGGACTATGTTGAAGCAGGAGGCCTTAGCTAATTAAACATATCCTGATCAATCTATAAAGCAGATGAAAATTTTAATTTAAAATACAGCATCATCTCTTAGATCCATGAGGGGGGATATTTTTTCGACAACAGTCTATATTACATTAATAAAATTCATAGCTTACCTTTCGTCTCGGTGACTGTACCTTCTTAGCTTTCTCTTTGTGATGAATAGTTGTCCCTTTTTTCATTTTTGAGTAAGTATATTTTGATTCAGTATCACTATTAAGCGGTATCTTATACTTTGAATCGTCTTCATGAGGTTGACCTTAAACTTGGAGAAAAGACATATTACTATTTGAATTAAGTAGATCAAAATATTTTAAATTAATAAGAAGTTATTTATTTGATCACTTTATAAATATTAATCTGCTAATTTTTTATGATTGTATAATCCCGGGGTTTTGGGGTTTTGGGGTTTTGGGG